AAAAAAAACTCCTGAGGTCTTCTTAAAACCAAACAATTGTTTAGCTTAACTAGTAAAATATGTCTGCCTTGAGCACTGACCTCTTTTAAGATTTATCTATATGGGATCAAACTGACAACAGCAACTTGAGAGATTAGACAGGAACCTTACAGGGCAGTGAGTTTATGTTAATGGAACAACTCAGAAGGAGGGTAAGAATGGTTGCACAACTCAAAAAACATAATCAGTGTCAATGAATTGTACATTGAAACTGCTGAATTCGTGTGTTTTGCTGTGTGTACTGTCAGTAACAAGAAAATAAACAAAATTTAAAACAACGAACTCACTCATGTTTCCCTTATATTCCACCCACTCCCACCACCCCAGTTAACTGAAGCAAATCCCAGACATCATACTATTTCATCTGTAAATATTTCAGAATGCATCTCTAAAAGATATGGACCCTCTGTTTTAATAAACTTTTTACTGAGTACATAATTTAAGTGTACATATCTTAAATTTACGGCATCACGCATTTTCACAAATACACCTGTAAACCAGTTCACAAATAAAGAACATTACTAGTACCCCCAGAAGTCCTCCAGTTCCCGCCCCGTTTTCCAAGGTAACTAGTGTTCTGACTTATAACACCACAGATTCATGTTTTCAGCTCTTGAACTTCATATAAATAGAATCATGCAGTATGTACTCTCCTGTCTCCTTTTGTACAATATATGTTTGTGAGATTCATCAAAAATTACTGCAGGTGGCAATAATCCATTCATTTTTACTGTGGTATAGAATTCCAATGTAGGAATATATTACACTTTCATCTACTCTACTGCTGATGAACATTTGGGTTGTTTATAGTTTGGGGCTACTACAAAGAACACTACCTTGACCATTCTAGAACATGTCTTTTCATGAACATGTATACAGATATCTACTGAGTATCACCTAGGAACAGAACTACTGGATGACAAGGTTTTGTGTATATTTAGCTTCAGTAAATATTGTCAAGAGTTTTCCAGTGATTGTACCAATTTATACTCCTACAAGCAGTACAGGAAAGTTTCATTTCTCCACATCCATGCCAACCAACCTTTAGTATTTTCAGTCTTTCAATTTTAGCCATTCTGGTGGGTGAGTAATAGTATCTTCTTGTGGGTTTTAATTTGCATTTCCCTGATGACTAACGATGGTGGACACATTCTCATGTTTACTGACAATCTGAAGTGCCCATTTTTCTACTGAGTTGTCTTTTTTCATATATTTGTTTTGCAGAAATTCTTTATAGATTCTAGATATGAATCCTATAACCTTTATATATATATATATATATACACACACATACTTTTTTAAAAAATAGCTTCTTGCTGTCTGTGGCTTTCCTTTCTACTCTTTTAACAGCAGTTTGATAAAAGTAGTTCTTAATTTTAATATAACTCAATTTATCAACTTTTTTCCTTTGCTTTTTGTATAAACCAAAAAAATAGAAATAAAATACGAGTTGATTCTGAGTCATAGCAACCCTATGCAATAGAGCAGAACTGCCTCACAGGGTTTCCAGGGCTGTAATCTTTACGGAAGCGGGCTGCCACATCTTTCTTGCACAAAGCAGCTGGTGGGTTTTGTATAGGGACTTTTAAATACTCCTCTACCATTATCAGGGAGCCCTGGTGGCACAACGGTTAAGCACTAAGCTGCTAACCGTAAGGTTGGCAGTTCAAACCAATCAGGTGCTCTGTGGGAGAAAGATGTGACAGTCTGCTGCCATAAAAACTTACAGCCTAAGAAACCCTGTGGGGCAGTTCTATTCTGTCCTATAGGGTTGCTGTGAGTTGGAATCTACTGGAAAGCAACAGTTTGTTCTCTCTCTCTCTCTCTCGCTCTCCAGTAATACCCAGTACTCTTTCTGAGTCAGCAGTTGTAAACTAGTAGCATATTAAAGGATATCATACTCATGCAGAAAAGTTTTTTACAAGGGTATTTCCTGCAGCATTGCTTACAATAGCAAAAACTTAAAACAATGTAAATGCCTGATTAGTTCAATAAGCTAAAGTACAGCCATACAATGAAATAACACACAATCATTAAAAATGATAACTGGGTTAGAATGTTTAAAGTAAAGTAAAAAACAACAGATTATAAAACAGAGTACATACATACTGCAGGAATGTGTGACATCTATAAAAAGGATATACACCAAAACATCAGCAGTAGTTACCTCTGAGTGGAAGGATTAAGGTGATTTCTTTTTGGCGCTTCTACAATGAATACCTGTTATTTTCATCTGTTATTTATATAATTTTTAAAAGTCTGAAATAATGTCCATGAAGAACTTTAACGGCACGGGAATATGCTTCTGAAGGCATAAAAAGGCAAACTATCAGATTCTGCATGGTTGCTACTATATACAGCCACAGGGTAGCAACATGCATAGGAGAGATACATTTACATTTGAACAGTGGTTGTTTCTCTGAACGATGAAACTGCAGGTGAATTTCATTCTTACATATACACATTTTTGGGATTTCTACAATAAATACATGCCTAAGTCACTCATAGCTGGGCAAGGTCTGAAAGGGATTTTGACAAAATAGAATTTAAACAGGTAGAGAGGAGGGAGCTGGAAACAGACTGACAACACAGAGGCACCAAGCAGGAGGAGGGGCTGGTTAAGAGAGAATGCTATAAAGGACCAAGTTTAAGAGATCTGAAAAAGAGGCTGGAATTTGATCAATTTTTTTCTATAGTTCATAAGGTGATCTCAGAGCAAATAAACCAGAACAGCTAGACTATACAAATGACAGATGGAGCAGAAGGGGCTGAGAGCCCCCGAGGGAGGGAGCTCAATTAGAATGACTTATATTAACGTACCACCACCCCTCTGTCAGTTTATTGTACTA